CGAGTCGTACAGTATGTCAATCGTTCAGTATTTCTGAAGTTCAGACGTTTTATAATGCGTAAATCTTTGCTGTTTGCGAGTACTTGCAGAGAGCTCGACACACAGTTTGGATGTTACTCTCGAGAGCAACTACTGCAATTGCGCAGTAGTCATTTTTATTCATTAAAAGGTTTCTATTGTCACACGAAACATCTTGTTCACAGTATATGGCAGCGGAAATTTCCAAGAGACGTTCAGTATTTCGGGCGTTTAGTATTTTAGACGTACTGACGTTTTATAATGCGTAAATCTTTGCCGTTTGCGAGTGCTTGCAGAGAGCTCGACACACAGTTTGGATGTTACTCTCGAGAGCAACTACTGCAATTGCGCAGTAGTCATTTTTATTCATTAAAAGGTTTCTATTGTCATACGAAACATCTTGTTCACAGTATATGGCAGCGGAAATTTCCAAGAGACGTTCAGTATTTCGAGCGTTTAGTATTTTAGACGTACTGACGTTTTATAATGCGTAAATCTTTGCCGTTTGCGAGTGCTTGCAGAGAGCTCGACACACAGTTTGGATGTTACTCTCGAGAGCAACTACTGCAATTGCGCAGTAGTCATTTTTATTCATTAAAAGGTTTCTATTGTCATACGAAACATCTTGTTCACAGTATATGGCAGCGGAAATTTCCAAGAGACGTTCAGTATTTCGAGCGTTTAGTATTTTAGACGTACTGACGTTTTATAATGCGTAAATCTTTGCTGTTTGCGAGTGATTGCGAAGAGCTGGACACAGTTTGAGAGTACTCTCGAGAGCAACAATTTCAATTGCGCAGTAGTCATTTTTATCCTTTAAAAGGTTTCTATTGTCACACGAAACATCTTGTTCACAGTATAGGGCAGTGGATATTTCGACGAGTCGTACAGTATGTCAATCGTTCAGTATTTCTGAAGTTCAGACGTTTTATAATGCGTAAATCTTTGCTATTTGCGAATGCTTGCAGAGAGCTCGACACACAGTTTGAGAGTTACTCTCGAGAGCAACAATTTCAATTGCGCAGTAGTCATTTTTATCTTCTAAAAGGTTTCTATTGTCGCACGAAACATCTTGTTCACAGTATAGGGCAGTGGAAATTTCGAAGAGACGTTAGGATTTTACACGTTCAGTATTTCTCAAGTTCAAACGTTTTGTAATATGTCAATCTTTGCTGTAAAGAACTCTGACAATCCGATCGACACAAAACACCAAATTACACAATAAATCAACGACGTACATTTCTCACTACACTTGCAATCACTTTCAACTTACAGAAACGCAATTATTTTTAACGTAAACGTTCATTTGGCACACGATTCTCGCTGCGTTAAAGAACGGTGGTCGGAAGCGTTCGGCAACGCTCGGAACTATTCGTGTATACTGGATACGAAACATTCCATATGAAATTGGACACTTTCTACCACTAAGTACATTATACATTTTATTTCATTGCACAATTATTTTCATTGCACGACATTTCACATAAAACCATGGGCATTGTAATTTTATTGTATTGTATGCTGAATCGATAATGTTGGGAACGAGAAGCAAATGACGAGGGCTCTCTATGTAGGCTTTTGTGTCGTGACACAAAGTCCTATAAGATGTTAGATCCATCCCGTACCACAGATGACGTACAGGATAGCGTACAGGAAAGAAATCGGGATAGAGAAGGATAGCACTAGAGTAATGAGTTACACAAAGCAAGATACATATAGGGACAAGAAAGACAGAAAATTTGAAAAATGAAACTGGCGCCATCTCGCGTTTGGTGAGGCGAACTACGACTTTTTAACAGGATTACAGAATATAAACAGAGGTATTAGACAAAGAAAGCACTAGTGTGCGACAAGGATAGAAAGAAAACGTTTCCTATTGGCTGGCGGGCCGCTGAGCTCCGCCAATCAGGTCCCAAGTCAAGCCTGTCGGTGAAAAATCATTAATAACTCAATAATTAGGTTGATTTTGTGAACTTTTAGAATTGAAGAATGAAGTATGAACCTCCAGTAACTTTCTCGTATAAATTTTATTGCTCTAGACGTATCCAATAATTAGTTATTAACAATTTTAGTACGTGATCTCGGAAACGATAGCGAATACCATCAAGTACCTTTCCGGTTTTTCAATAATTTCATAGTTTTCGACTAAATTCTCGTGCAACCAGCTGTACGCGTGTGAAAGGCAACTCCTTTGGCTACATTCTCGTGTAATTTTTATTAACATATTCGTTTCAGTTTAATAGTTATTAAACATTCTTTGGGAGAGTTTTACAACCGTCGTATTCACGCGTAATACATTTTCGTTATTTCGATAGATATGCGTGGCTAATTGTGCACTTTCAAGCATACAGAATGCAGAACGGGCTTCCGTCTATATTCTGCAATCAGTTTGGTAGCCATAAGTAGTATGGTTTATCTGATATTAGTTATTGTTTACAACAGTTAACTGTACACGAGTTCGATTTATAGTGAACCCTCTCATATAATATTTAATAACTCCTAAACAAGATAGAATATCGTAATAAAAATTAGACAAGAATATAGACGAAAGAGTCATCTTTCAGACGCATACAATTAGTTGCATGAGAATTTAGTAGAAAGTTGTGAAATTACTGAACAAACGTAAAGGTATGCGGTATCGTTTCCGACATCACTTACTAAAATTGTTAATAACTAATTATTGAAAGGGTCTAGAGCATTAGAAACTAAAGTAGAAAGTTGCTGGAGGTTCATACTACATTCTTCAATACTGAAAGTTCACAAAATCATCGTGATTATTGAGTTATTAATGATTTTTCACCGACCGGCTTGACTTTGGGCCTGAGCGTCGGAGCGCAACGGCCAGTCAGCCAATAGGAAACGTTTTCTCTCTATCCTTCTCGCACACTAGTGCTTTCCTTGTCTGCCTCCGTTTATATTCTGTGTTCCCATTGAAAAATCGTAGTTCGAGTCTCCAAACGCGAGATGGCGTTAGTCTCGCCCTCACTTTTCTTTTCTATCCTTGTCCACCCCTATTGCTTTCCTTGTCTAACTCGCGGTAATACTGCTGTCCTCGTCATTTTTCTTCTATTCAATTGATACTTGTAATACATTTTTAATTGCTTTAACATTACTAGTAATGCAGATAGTAAAACACAGTTTAGGGCATGTTTCGAAGTACTTAAATTATACAATAATTAAATACTAATAAAATAGCTTAATTTCTTAATTTCACATTGAACAAAGAATTGCGCGCAGCAGGCCTTATGCAAAAGGAAATGAACGTGGTGTGTAAGGGAAAAACAAATAGATTGTTGAATGTTGTAAAACAGTACTGGTTTATTGTAGCCTTTGATCAAATCCATTTTGTACACTTGTACAATATGACTTTTTACATCTGTCGACTTTATCATCTTCGACGGTTGGATCGTACGTAATTCCTAAACTCACCGCTTTCTAACCGCAGAGGGCATAAGAAATTCTTCGATTTTTTACACGATCGGTATTTCAGAACGTTGGACGCAAAAATACATCAGGCGCTGGGTCTATCCTGTACCTCGTCTGTGCCTGTAGGATGGAAACTGAATTGAGCTAACAATGAAGCATAACCGCGTTTAGGTGACACTAGGTTAACGTATCTTCGGGCTATTCACGAGGTAGAGCAAACACCGACTATAGCTGCAGGAAGCACAGAGGAGCACGTTAATGTAGAAATGTTTCGAGGTTACACCATAGAGAGTGAGCAAACGAACGTGTTTCAGATGAAGAAAAAGGGAGGAAGCGTAGAAAGCAGAGAGCCGGGTGAAAGAGTCCACTCGTCAGTGTAAATAACCAGGTGCTTATTTCACGGATGCCCCAAATGCGAAAATGCTCTCGACTCTTTTAACTTTGAAAACGACGAAATATATTTTTACAGTATTTTTTGGACAGTACAAAAGTGTTGAGCCAAAGACGTTAATTAGCTAAACGAGAAGGATAAATTGTAACAGTGGACTCTGTAATAGGATACATTTGAAATACGACACGTATGTAACGGCGTATAGCCGAATAGAAACAAGAAAATCTCGAGGATACAGACAGTTATTTGAAACTTATTCGATAAGACCACGGGTGAAATTACTAAAACATAGTACATTCCTCCTTCTCCGCATAAAACTTGCGAGATTCGTTGAAAATTTTGTTCGAACTACGAGAATCTTACCAAGGTCCATTTAAACTTTGAAAGTTTAATAAAAAGTTTCTTATACAATTCTTTAAACAAAGTACACAAACGAGCAAATTTCATTCACAAACACTGTCACGAATCTCAATAAGAGCGATACAATAGCGATTGAATAGGAAACAATAGGAAGATTAAATCGAACGGCTGAATTGTAAAAGAAACGCGGGGAACCGTTATAGAAATCATGCACCATTGAATTTAAATGGCTTCTTCTTCAACCGTTTTACCATTTGTCAAAGGACACGAATCTTTTCGAAACGTTTAAACGGTTAGTGTTCCGTACATCCGACGAATTAACAATAAAAGAAACAGCTATAGGTACACACTTTTCCGTTTATTCTTTCACATTTTCGAATTTCTCAGAAACCGAGAGCGTAGATCAGAATCGACGTACGAAACAAATATTTACGTGGATCTGTTTACCCGAAGTAAACAGGCCAAGTGAACAAAGCCTATCCTACTTGCTGAATTCTCGGAGAAGAAAAACAGTCCCTTCGATCCTTCGAAATCCTCAGACGCGTCTTTATCCGAAATTCGTGGATATCGAACCCGAACGAACGTTCAGCCCGACATAACCGCTTTTCCCTATGGCGAGTTTGTCCGGGAATCGAGAGATGGCGCGTGGCGTGCGTATAACAGCTCGAGCCAATATGGCGCGTCGGAACCGCAATAAACCGCGTTAGCGTTTGAGACGGGAAGTTACCAGTATTGCCGCGCGTAGGCGCTGTTGGCCGCGTGTCTATCTCTGCGAGAGCTTTTCACCGAGGATGTCCACGGTAAAGATCTTCCGAACCGGAGATCCGCGTCTTCTGCGATCTGGCAAGTTTACCGCGGTATCCTCGAGTGTCATCGACGGTGATCCGTTAGGAAACAGTGATTCACTTTATTCGGACGTGTCATCTGGTTGGTTATCCCGCAAAGACAGTGTTTTCTGTTTTACCGTGCGATCATACTTGTGAGAAGGAGTAGAGAGAGAGAGCGTGCTCCTGCAAACTGTTCAGTGCGAGTTCCTCCTCGTCCTCTCAGATGTTCGCGACGAAATATCAATACGATCACATGGTTGCCTCTCGTTGTTTACAGTTGGCGAGAAATTGATAGCTAAGTAGCTGAGGAGAAGTGCGTTCGACAAGGTTGAAATTCGGTGGTTAGTGACACGGGGAGAGGGGAAGAGCTGGTACTCATGGGCCTGGAATCTGACGTGGTTCGCGGAAGCTGTGCCTCGTTATGCACCTTTAAAACAGCCAGAATTCGTGGAATTGGTCGTGACTCGGAGCACCGAACGATCGTGATCGTAAGTATCAGAGCGTACGTTGGCCGAGACAAAAGAGAACGGTCGTACAAACTGTCCAGCGTCCTCCGCGATTTTTTCCCCTGGTTCGCTGTTCGCTGTTCGCTCACGTGACAGCCAAAATCTGACATTTCACCCGTGCACCTATGCGTTCGTTTAAACGACAAAGTCTACTGCCCCGTTAAATTCCAATGAACTATGCGTAAATCGCGACTATCGAACGCGTGTTTACGAACGGTAGGAAAGTCTTTTCTTCGTAGGGATGCGAGTGGAAAGAACCGTTACACGTTAAGAATACGGAATACCTATCGAACGCGGTAGAAGGTAAAAGCGTTTTTCCTTCCACATCGTAACGAATCGTATACGGTCGATAAAGGAGGTTATTATCGATAGAAACACTTCTACAGTAGTACATAGGTAGAGCGTGGAAACGAAAGGAGAGAGACGCGAGACATTAAGGCTAGACAAATAACGCGTTCTTTATTCTTTATCGGCGGCAGTGTCTTCAATAGGATCATTGTTTCCACGTCGCTATTGTATTCTTTCGCCCGTAGAGAGCTGGAATCGTTTAACTCGGATATATTTCACCGCGAGATCTTTTCATTCGTTCAAATTGGAATTTCATTGGATCGGCCGTTTTCACCGGTTCGAAGTCAAGGTGAGCGAATTTTCAGCGAAGGAGTCTTCTTCAATGGAGAAGAGAGAAGAGAAGGACGCGACGCGACGGTCAACTGTGCAAAGCCTTAAATTCCGAAGGCCGCGTTACGTTTAAAAGAACGGGGACCGCGCGTGTGATGACCTAAATTCGCGATAGTCTGCTTTTAATCTGCCAAGATGGAACGTCAGCTCGCCGTAGCAGCCGACGTTTTTCGACAACGCGAGAGATAATCGTTTGAGAAATCCAGCGGAGAACGAAAACGAAGGAAAAAAGTGTCCTGTGCAGTGACCTGGCTACTAGAACGTAACAGCGGGAACGACCTTGCACAACGAGTTCTTGTCTTTCAAAGCGTAAAAGAAAACCACGCAAAGGACACTTGTGCCCGCGCCGCTACGTGCTAATTGTCCGACGTGGCGTGAAATTCAAACACAAGCTTTTCTAATGCGTTCTTTACCTCTTCGTTTTCTTTTCTTTTTTTTTTTTTCGTGTCCGCTCTCTTATGATCTCGCTCGAGGTCTTTCGATATCTCTACCTTCCGAAAAAGCTCTTGTTTGTTTTATCGAAGCGGAGCATAATTCACGAATTAACCAGTCGTTTCTGTTATCTAGTTATCAAAGACGGCTCTGACGTGACGCCGTTACTGGTTACGTACATATGTATGCATTGAATCTATCTCGAGTGCTAATTCGAAAGCTCGACAGCTGCTTGGACCGTTTGCCAATTGTCTCCTTATAATCGACGAATTTTCGTAGAGGTCCGGCAGAGGACCGGCAGAATTTTCTGAGATTCGGAGTTGGTTCGCGAGCTGTCGAGTGTACGTAGCACGACAGTTGTGCACTTTTTCAAAATGCCGCGATAGCGCATTCTCCTAACTTTACGGAATTGTTCAACGTACAGTTTATTTTCTTGGGCGCTTATCGTCGCACAATCTACTACGGATTATGCCGTGAAATGAAAACGCGGAGAGATGCTCGTTCGCCTGGCCATGTGGTATGCACGTTGTATCGCGCATCCCTTTTCAACGTAATAATTTCGCATACGGATTTTTACCATCTACATACATATATAGGAACACGCGTACATAATCGCAAACAAGAAAGAGACCAGGGCACCGATGAGTGATGAAGCTCGCAGCTCGTTTATTATCGCAACGGCGCGGCGGGGTTAATCATGCTCCGTCTAACGATTTCCTTGTTAAACCCTGCGCTGCTGACGATACCTTTTACGAGTTCTCTTTGTTACCTAGTTACCTTTGCCCAAGTCCAGAGCACTATCGTTCGATAGTTTTCGCTTCCGCTCGATTGCAGCCGACCCGCTGTCCAATTTGATAACTTGCACGTTGGGCGCGATTTCGCCAGCGATTTCACGTGCTTGGTTCGAGGAACTCGCACCTTCCCGCATATTGCCTTAAACGAGCCTCTGATCGATGCCAACTACGTGTCTCGCGTCTAGAGCCAACACCCCCGCCGAATCGTCGTTTTGCCACAATTTGTTTCGCAAAGTAGAAACGACCTATTCGAGTTACGAAGAACGCGCGCACATTTTCCCCATGCACAAGAGACAGATGTTCATGAAGAAGAAGAAGATGTTTCGAGGGAACAGAATGGCCGTAACGACGGGAAAGAAAGAAAGGAGCAGCTGGCGCGATGCGACGTAAATTAGGAAGACGGGCACGTAGTAGCTGTAACCGTAACGTCAGCCGATCCTTGATTCCCGGAGTTTACTCCTAGCAGGTTCGCGTTAGCGGCTGTACTCTTGATAATTGCTGTAGCATTCGTGTAACGCGACACAGCAATTCCGGTTCAATTCCAAAGCATAATTACCCTTTTGCACACGCGCGACAAACCGTTACAAGTTGAACCAGCAGCGCTTAGTTTTGAAAAGAACGGTATTGCGAGGCAACGAGGTGTCCCGGAGCGTAAAATTGTCGTTTAATCTCACAACAAAATGCAACGCCGCTTTCGTTGGGCAACGATTAACGGTTAGCCAGAGTCCCGTTAACACCCGTTAACCAAACCGTTCGACGTAATTTCATTTTCCGTAAAAGCATTATTACGCGATGAATACGCTCGGTTCTCGATTGGCTTTTCGATAAGCGGGGACAGCGTACAATTAATTAAGCGTACGCTTAACCATCTTCTTCCGCGACCATCTCCACACACGTGCGGCACCGTTTAACCTGGCTTTTCCATTCTTCCGAACCAGTCATTTACATCAATACCGTTCTTATCCGACTATCTGTAAGAAGAGTGGGGCGTAAATTGGCCGCTCTCCAAGGGGGCGAAAAAGGGTATACTATGTAGAAGCCAAGTCGAGTGGGAATATATATTTTCCTTATCAGTTTTTGCACGGAGAGCTCCAACGGTGGCTGGTTTTCGCACACTTTCCAACGAGTACCTACCAGCCGTAGGGCGAAAGGGTGGCGTAGACCTATTTTGGTTGTACCAGCGGGATCTCGTTAAACATCCCGTAGATTGCAGGGTGTTCACGGTAACAGAATATTCTAACTGAATGAAACCGCTTAAGTTCGTTTGGAAATTATCGAGGGAACAGGGATACGGTACGTTAACCAATCACGTTCACCGTTGGAGAAGTTGCGCGGTGAAAATTCCGTAACGTTGAACGGTTTCAAAGTGGCGGATGCCAGTTTCCTTTTTATACTTAACACTCTGGTCGTGCATAATAGAAATGTGCGCGTACCACCGGACGCGAACTAGCCTAATTGTAAGTACAAGACGACGACATTACCGTGAGAACCTGCCTACGTCTCACCGATAGATAAACACCACCTTTTCAGCCGTTTTAATTAGACCAGAATTATACACGGAGAAGGACTAAAGAAACGAGAAGATGTATCTAACTAAGTTCCCCCTATGAACTCTGCTGGAAAAAACAGATTTATCTCGCGAATTACACGAAAGAGGTTGATAGAGAAGAGTCGTTCCGTTCGTAGGGTTCTTCTCGGAACGGTGGCCGAGATTAACGCGAACCGTACAACCGATAAACGATACGAAAATACTTACCGTAGTAGGTACATATGTTGTACATATATGGAAATGGAAATTGCGCGTATGTTTCTGTGTACCGAGCAGCCCGTACGTTTCTCATCGGTTTGCGATTGGCCGTGCGTCAACGAGTTTGGAAGTGTCGTATTCAGACGTTGATTTAGCTGGTAACTGATACACCAACGTATTCTTTTGCTTTCTCGCCTGCTTGCTCGCTCGCTCGATCGCTTGATCGCATGCTTGCGAAATGTCAGAGTATGTTACGTCGAAACGTTACGTAATGCGTCATCGAGTTAATTTGAACATTTCGATGGATTATTAGACGTCGAACGATCCTTGGGACGTAGATAGATACATCTGTATTTCGATTGATCTGTATTTCGATACGGTATGGGGAACTTGACGAAGGTATGCTTTCGGGGCAAGCTCGTACTTTTGTACGATTCGCTGTCTCGTTTAAATATCGCACAGGAAACGCAGCCAAGTTCACCAGACCGGAGATATCGCGTGTCTCGGTATCGTGCGTTCGCACGGACTTTAATTTCGTCTCTGCGGCCAAAAATCCTTCCCCGTCGAATGAAGTCTGCGCGAAAACCTCGATAGTAACCTTGGTCGGTTTCCCGCGGCGGATCGGTCCAGATAAAAAAGCGAACGTCGGCGACGCGACCAATGTAGAGAGAACCGTGACTCGCTCTCCGGCCAATCACGTCATTGACTCGGCCGCGCTTTAGGTCGACGTCGGCGTCGCGTCGCGTCGCGTCGCGTCGCGTCGTCTCGTGGCCGGTCACCTCGCCAGTCTTTGCGGAGACGCGACGCGCGCCGTGCCCTTTCTTTTTTCGCTCCTACTCGCAACCGGAAAACTGATTTCGCGATTCGACCAGGTGCCAAGAGAATTAAGCTAGCGAGACCGTTCTGGTCTAGCCAGAACGAGAGTGTGAAAGAGCGCGGGCCGAAGCGGTGAACGTCGAGTGAATGGTGGGACTTGCACGCGAAAACCGGTTGCGTTGAGAAGGTCAGTTACTGGATCGGTGTCAAGAAACGATCGTTTCTTCTTTCTCTTCACCGTCGTTACTCGGAGTACACTTGGCGAAAACGCAAACAGATTGGGGAATCGCGGAGGCCAAGGTTGCCTTTTCGCGTAGGCTTTTTAGCCGCGAAACGGAGATAGGCGGAGTAGGTATCTAGCACGTGGGTGAGCGCGGAAGAGCAAACCGGCCTCTGTCGATTCAAGGGGATCGCCTATATACATAGGTACTATACGTATATACGCTACTCGAGACCAAACGACGGTGTTTCTTCCCTTGTACATATTCTCGCTTGCCTGCTTTATCGCTCGATTG